GGTGAAAGTCGATTTTCGCCAAAATTGAATTTTTTCGCCAAGTGAAAGTTGATTCTGTATTTTCTAACAATTCTGATGCCAATGAAACCCCCCAAGGGGCGACAAAAGTCGAAATGAAATTGTTTTTTTCACCCTGAGCCAAAGAGTCAGATTTTCTGTTTTTCCAGAGGGAAAGTCGACTTTCGCCAAAATCGAATTTTTTAGTCGTGCGAGTGTTGATTCCAACTATTTAAGTAACGGGCTATTCAGAACTCTCAAAAGGATGTGGAAAAACTGAAAACTGAAAAAGTTTGTTTTTGCAAATTTTCAAAGGGTCAGATTTTTGGTTTTTCCCGGGGAAGGTCGACTTTCGCCAAAATCGAATTTTTTAGCCGGGTGAACGTTGATTCCAACTATTTAAGCGACGGGCTATTCAGAACTCTCAAAAGTATGTGGAAAAAGTGAAAACTGAAAAAAAAAATTTTTCACCCGGACCCAAAGGGGTCAGATCTTGGGTTTTTTTCAGGGGGAAAGTCGGTCGAAGGGTCCCAAGGGTCACGAGGGCCAAAGTGTCAGATCTTGGATTTTTCCAGGGGGAAAGTCGACTTTCGCCAAAATCGAATTTTTTAGTCGTGCGAGTGTTGATTCCAAATATTTAAGTAACGGGCTATTCAGAACTCTCAAAAGGATGTGGAAAAACTGAAAACTGAAAAAGTTTTTTTTTGCAAATTTTCAAAGGGTCAGATTTTTGGTTTTTCCCGGGGAAGGTCGACTTTCGCCAAAATCGAATTTTTTAGCCGGGTGAACGTTGATTCCAACTATTTAAGCGACGGGCTATTCAGAACTCTCAAAAGTATGTGGAAAAAGTGAAAAATGAAAAAAAAAATTTTTCTCAAAGTATCAAAGTATCGGATCTTGGATTTTTCCGGGGGGAAAGTCGGTCCAAGGGTCACAAGGGTCACAAGGGTCAAAGTGTCAGGTCTTGGATTTTTTTGCCAAAATCTAATTTTTTAGCCGGGTGAACGTTGATTCCAACTATTTAAGCGACGGGCTATTCAGAACTATCAAAAGTATGTGGAAAAAGTGAAAAATGAAAAAAAAAATTTTTCACCA